GAATTTGTATAAAATTGTACTATTTAGTAAAACTAATTTTTCACGGATATACTGTTTGCACTCTAGAGTGCATTCAGTTAGTATGTGAAACTTTACTAATACTAAATAGTACAATTTTATGCAAATTCTATTATTTTCTATCGTTTAACTAGCACTATTTTGTACTATTTAGAAATTAGTGTTTCACGGATTAACTGAATGCACTCTAATCCATGAAACACTAATTACTATTTTGTACAAAATAGTGCTAATTAAACAATAGAGTGCAAACAGTATAACTGTGAAACTTTACTAAAACAAAATTGTACTAATTCGTACAAAATCCTTTGTCTTCCATTGTTCAAGTAGTACTATTTTGTACTAAATACTATTTTGTGTTTCACAGATATACTGTTTGCAATCTACTGTTTGCACTCTAAAATGTTCAACCACTTCACTATTAAACATACAGTTTAATTCATATTTATTGAGAAGTTTAGACTATTTGCGCGCATTCATACCAAGCTCAATTAACAAATAGAAGATTCAACAAAACACTTGGGCATGCTAGTAAGAAGTATATCAAACTGTAGAAAAAACTTAGCAACGCTAATCTAAAGAAGCCCGAGTTAACGCCACAGGTGGCGTCTAGTTAATCATAAATTAAGCCAAGCTTTCGGGTTCTGAAAGCTAAGATAACCATTATGAATCAAAAGCTAGAAGAACAGCAAACAAAAGATCTTYACCTAGAAGCATATTCCCGAAGGGAAAACTTGAAGTTTTTAARCAYWKATGAGACGCCACAAGAAGACGTAGAAGCAGTTCTAAGATCCTTTCTGAACGAMCAATTGGGTTTCCATGATTATGAAACGGTGGAGATACAGCGGATTCACCGAAACCCCTTTGGAAAGAAAGCTGAATATGGTCCAAGACCTATCTTGGTTCGCTTCTTGAGGTATAAAGATGTGGACAAGATTTCGTCTCTGGGCTATCGATTGAAGAACACTAAATACAGAATCTTTATTGATTTACCGACGGACCTGGTTAAAAGAAGAAAACCACAGATGGACACCTTGAAGAAGGCAAAGCAGAATAAGATGAGAGCAAATTTCAGTAAGTCAGAACCTGACAAACTATACATTAATGGCAAATTTTGGCCATTAGGCAAAGTTCTCACAATCTAAACTCAATTCTCTTTATGAATTACTCTTTTAATATATTTATAATAGGCCATGTCATAAAATATCTTGTGGACCAGTGAAGTTTTTTGTTAAAACAACCCAGTATGAGTACTTTAGTAGATTTAATTCACATTAGAAGCGTAGTATATCATTTATTATTTTTTGAACATATTTTATTGATTGTTCTTCTTTGTGAGTGTGTATTAGAATCGGGTTATATTCCTACGATCGGTTGCGATTATATGTGAACAGAATTCTGCGATCGTGATATTGTAAGTGTCCAGCAATTCTCAGTTTTGCCTTGCATAAAACACGTGTTGATTTTCGCAAGCAAAAAACATGTCTTTTTAGATTTGTTTCAGATATAACTGATTCAAAAGTATCAACTCACGATTGTATATGCTAATTTACGTTTGTAAGCTATATAGACAAGTAAATAACTATTCAAGTATTCAAATATTCACAATCATAAATCCGAACGTTTCTTTTTTGATTTGCCAGCGATTCCTTGTTTAAGTAAGGTTAACGAGAGTAGAATATCGCGCTGATCAATACTACTTCGTCTCCGTCGTCCATGTTGAATATACATATGTACTTTGTTTTACGGTTGAGTGATAATTCGCGGATTCAGGGGTCAACAGATCGCCGGCGATCGATATGTGAACGTTCGATTTGAGATCCTCCGTTGAGAGGATTCCGCGATCGAGCGATCGTCTGCGATCATATGTGAACCAGGCTTTATGCTATTGTATGATTCAAAGGTTATTCCATTGTTGTAACATTTTGACAAGAAACCCAAGCGTTTTTATTTAAGAATATGATTCAAACATTACACTATTCATTGTTGTTATATTTTGACARKGAACCCAGGCGTTGTTATATTAGAATATGATTCAAAGAATACTCGATTCGTTATTGTATTTTGACAGGAAACGCAGCCATTGTTATATCATAGCATGGTTTAAAAATTACTCGTTTTTTTTTATACATATATATTTGGACAAGTAACCCAAGCGTTATTATTATGACTCATTAGGCGTTATTATATGATTCAAAGATTATTTGATTCATTTTTGTATCATTTAGAGCGATGATTACGAAATTTAAAATGTTATTTCCAAAAGTACCCTATGTAGTTTCA